ATTTATAGAGTGGAATATTTTATCATATTCTTCATCTGAAAGATTTAATCTGAAACACCAAGAAAATAGTTACAGAACACATATGAAATATACATATTTAACCACAAAAATATCATCATTATTGAACAGAAACATGGGACACAAAAACCAGGTAGAAAGCGTACTTTAAACAGAATAAAATAGTCCCAAATCAAATGAAACATTTCACTTGAAACAGCTCAGTAGAGACTGAGGATCCACACGATTGAAAATAGAACCCTATCAGGTACAGTTCAGGATTAGGTACTCTGAGACCCCTTTGCAGACACTTTTTAAATTTAACATTTATATGAATGGCATGGTTATTATTTCCTGCAGACTGGCAACTCCGGTTTCCAATTGATTCCAAGAAGGGCAGAGCTGCAAACAGTGGGTCACACCCATTCTTCAGCAAAGATGTAGTTGAGAGGTGGAAAGGTGAGAAAGACCTCAGCATCAGCAAAACATCAGCAAACCGGTATGATGGCTACACTCATGCAGAACTGATACACTGGCTATATTCAAAGCATCCAGCTTTGCTGTATCTAACTTAGTTGCCAGAATTAGAAGCCTCCATTCATCGATGAAGCTTCTGGTCCGCAACCATTCTGAAAGCTCCACCAGCTACATGAGGAACACCGGCTTCTAATTCAGGCACTTAACTAGTGCTCTTATTGGACTGTGTAGGCACATCCTATTGTGATTTTCTACAGCTGCATTAGTATCATTTTTAACTTCTGACAATTATCGTTTTAACATCTGATTTTAGTGCATTTACTATCTTACAGTTAGTTGGCTATGTTGGCTATGAAGCATTGTCAGTTCGTTTACTACTCTGCTACTTTTTACCCAACAACCAACATACAACAACACATGGAGTTAATGATCCATAGTTTGAACAGAACTGGACTTTAGTTTCTTCAAGGAGTACCGATAGCCTTCCTCCATTACTTGAATTCTAGGGCTACAGAATGTGACAAAAGATAGTATGTATATATGTATCTAGATATCTATGTGTGGGGGGCACTACACATTAGATTGAATATAGCTAACTTCGAAAACCACAGATGCAAACTATGGAGGGTAATTTTACAGGTAAAAAAATATTATTTTTCAAAGAAAGGTTATTATCATAAGAAATATTAAAAATTACATGTTCCAGTCTGCTTTTGTTCTGATTTCTAAAACACCCTGAAAATTGTGGCATCTTCAAATAGCCTTCAAGGAGCTCTAAACACTCAGAAAAGCAGCACAACTGCTTTCTGTGTCTCTAAGATGACACCCTTACATTAAACAATTATTACCCACTTGTAAGGATATAAAAATCTACCTTATTGGCACAACTCGGGCACCGGCAGATTCCAAAAACTTCACATATGAAGCTGCAATATAAGAACTTCCAAATCTGCGGAACTTATCAAAGTGACATTCCTGCGACAATATCCCTGAAGGATCCAAGAAAGAAAGTTAGCACTATGCAAACAGCCAACGCTACACACCGAAAGACAAAATTAAACTCCGATTTCCTATACGCCATGTCACAGTGCTACATTTACTGCCCGAAAGAATTACAAACACTGAGGCAATATGGGGCATCAATTACAATGCCTAGTCACAAGGTACCAAATAAACACACGTTATCTGGCTAAGACTCAGCTTCCCTGCTTTAACTATTCAGCACTACTTCTCTTAAATAAGTTATTGGTATTTTAAGATTTTTTTTTAAACCAAGTATGTATAACGTAACGCTGCTTACAAAAGCTTTCACCAAACCTACGCTTCAGGAGACCTTTCGCTCCACGCAGAAACCGGCAGGGCTTCGGGTCGGTTGTGGGAGCCGTCCCCTCCCCCAGGACAGCGAAGGCAGGGCGCCAGGCAGCCCCGGGCCGGCCGGTGACCCCCGGGGAGCGGCCGGCGGCAGCTGGGGGGACGCCAACCCCCCCCGCCCGGGGGC